TTTTTTTTTTAATTTCAAGACAAGGTCTCATTAAGTTGTTAAGTTGTCCAAATTAGGCTGGAGCTGGTGCTTCTGCCTTAACCTCCAGGCCTCTCTCCTTCCTCTCCCTCTCCCCCACTGTCTCCCCCCATTTGCAACCCAAAGCCCAGTTCCCAGGAGCATAAATGAAGCTTCTCCCTCTGCAGCCTGAGACACCTGCACTGGGAAGGGCTCAGGGGTTTCTCTGCTCACTGATCCAGTAGGCAGTGGGCAGTAGGCAGTGGGCAGTGGGCAGTGGGCAGTGGGCAGCAGCAGGAGGGGTTGGCTCACCGGGCCGTTCTCCTCTCCCCAGGAAGTGGATCCCATCGAGAGCCACACCTTTGCCACTAGCACCCTCACCCAGTTCTGCATCCTCTTCAGGAGGACCTTCCTGTCCATCATCAGGGACACGGTAAGGTGTCAAGCTGGGACAGGAGGAGCAGGCCTTGCTTTGGGGGCTGATGGGTTGCAGCAGGTGGGACAGAGTGGGGGCCCTGCCTGCTGGCCCTGCAGGGCCCCTGTGGGTAGAGCTGGGTTCCTGCCCTGTGGTTCCCGTCCTGAGACGCCCTGCCCCCTGTGGCCGCCCCCCCAGGTCCTGACCCACCTGCGGTTTGTGTCCCATGTGCTGATCGGCGTGCTCATCGGCCTTCTCTATCTGCACATCGGTGATGACGCCAGCAAGGTCTTCAACAACACCGGCTGCCTCTTCTTCTCCATGCTGTTCCTCATGTTTGCTGCCCTCATGCCGACCGTGCTCACCTGTGAGCAGAGCTGTCCGCGGGTGGGAGTGGGCACTGGGTAGGAGGCAGGGGCGGGGCTTGGCCAGCAGCGTGCTGTCTGCCTGTGTCCCCAGTCCCCTTAGAAATGGCAGTCTTCATGCGGGAGCACCTCAACTACTGGTACAGCCTCAAAGCATACTACCTGGCCAAGACCATGGCCGATGTGCCCTTCCAGGTGAGCCTCCGCCCTGCCTGCCTTCTGTTCCCCGAGCTGGCTTCTGGGCCCCCCCACCTTGCCCCTTCTATTTTCTTAGAAAGTGCATGTTGTGTCTTCTATGCATCAGGCTTCATACTGGGTACTGGGGAGATGGCAGCAGTGTAGACTGATATTTTTTGGTTTTTATTTTCTCTTTTTTGGCCGAACCAGGGATTGAAGTCAGGCCCTTGCACTTGCCAGGGAAGCACTTATTCCACTGAGCCATCTCTATTTTCTTGAGACAAGGTTTCACTATGTAGTTCAGGCTGGCCTGGAATTCATGTTAATCCTCCTGTCTCTGTGTCCTAA